AGCGAATCGGCGGGCCATGATTACCTATTTGTGGAGATCGTGCCCAGACGTCACGCGGAACCCAAGGAACGGCCCGGATTCCCGCTGGAGCGCCCACGTGGACTTTGCAAACTCCCCATTCTTCCACTTGGCCCAGCTGAAGAATGAGGAGTTGGGGGGCTTATGATGGGCCGATATCCAGTGGGCAGCCCAAATGAACCGCTTGTACAGCTTCGGGTCAGACACTCGGAAAGTACTCAGGTCTGGGCCGGCCCACAGAGCCGGGCCCGGTTGACTTTAGACCAAGAGTAGCTGGCAGAGCCAGTCCGGAGAAGGAGACGGAGCAGATTGGCCGTTACAGAGCCGGAAAAAGGGGATCGCGCCCTTAACGGGATAGACTCCATCAATTATGCGTAACCTTAATTGCATATAGCTCATGTATAAATAGAGGAGACCCGAAAAGGAGAAATTCAAGCAAAATCAAGCTAATAATACATACCCCATTCTCGAATTCTCGTTCTTAATTTTGTTCTTACGATCCGCTTAACGGATCGGATTATTTGGTGGATTTATTGTCCATCACATAGTATTTGGTTGCACTAATTCACAACCCAATTTAGACAATTTTCGTTCATTTGGTAAGTGCATAACACTTCCAGAGTATGCATTTAGGTAGTTCTATAATGACAACACCGATGGAATGAGGTCATCGATCGTGATGCTGCAATAACGACATATTGCGTAGACGTGGACACATGGCATGTGAAATATGGCCCATTTTCTACAACTAATCATTTGTTGGCTAAAATGCATGATAATTTCATCTTCTCTACTATTAGCTCAAACGTGGCCCTCAACAATGATCGGGTAAATCCCTTGTTGCAGATGATGAGGGATTATACGACAATGCAAACGATTGTGTTCTATGCGTCTCACCTCGTTCCAAACATATTTTGGGAACTTTGACCTCGCTTGTTGCAATGTAAATCTATCTGTCTGCCTTTCTCAAAATAATTTGTAACAGCTCGACACATCCTGGTCAGAAGTATCCACTTATAGGATTGTAGATTGACCCCAGAAACTAATATAAGTTTTTATCGCGCATTTTGTCCTCACTCATGCACGCCCAGGGAACTTCCGAGGGGGTCACCCATCTTAAAATTGCTTCAGGTCTAACACACTTAAAATTGCTCGAAAAGAGGATGCATCTTGTTGGTATAAGTAGTACTATCAATCTTTTGAGCTCTTTCCATTCCCATGTTAACACGAGCTATTACATAATTTTACTATTCTCTCATAGGTTGTCAAAAAAAATTAATGTATCGTTTACCTTTGACTTTTGCTGACCAGTACTGATCGAAACATGTTTTATAGAAGAGTAAATTCTCAAAATTACTCTTTCTAATAAGGTATTTTCTCAAACTAGTCATCAATAAACAATAATTAGCAATGTGGTCCTTTGTAATTTAGATTTATTCCCTAAATAGCCTTCTGTCGAAAAATATCAATTAAATGTCAGTCAAAAGTAAGGTATTTGGTATTTGTAATTATCACATAGACTTAAAATATGTTCTCAAAATGCTCCTTTATAATTAAGTATATTTCCAAATTGATAATTTCTAAATAAATATTTTCCCGAAATGGAGTCCATGAGCCTACTCGTGGTGGGTCCGATCCCCCAGCAGCCACTCACTTAATTTGAAAAGATCATTTTGAGGACTTATTCATAGTTTAGATTATGAAAAATAAAAAATACCCTTTCTTTAACTATTATTTAATAGAAATTTTTGACAGAGGACTATTTAAGAAATACGCTTCAATTGAAAGGACTACATTGGTAATTATTTCTTATTGAAGACTAATTTGGGAAAACACATTATCAGAAAAGATCGTTTTGAGAATTTTTACTCTTTATAAAAAAGAATGAGTCTCATCCCTGAGAGTTTTTCTCAAATCCAATCAGATAATCACTGAAAGATGTTGAATTAAATTTTAATCGTTGATTCGTGATAAAAAATGAAACCTGCACATAATACTTAGAAAAACTTTATGTTTAACATAATTATCTCGTGGTGATGTTAAGATGTTTTATGTTTCTAGGTCTAGCATTGATGGGGAATTAAGTCTGCATTTACTACTGCACACCCTAAAAAGAGAGGTAATCAAGTGGCCAGGCTGGCCTCAGGCCCTCAGTCGCCTGCCAACCCGGCGTCTTTTCCTAAAGCTTACTCCGTATCTTGTTTCCACCCGTCAGACACGACTAATAATTGCTCTATCCCCCACATTGATTCCCATTTCCCAAATGGCAACGCTCTTCTTCTTCTCTGTCTCTCCCAAATTCTTTCCATTTCCTTTTGTTCTTATCTCGCCCATCTTCCTCTCAAGAGTCAACTCAACCATTAAAATCCTTCTGAAACTTATTCAGATCTCTCTACCCATTTATAGATCCGTATCACTGGGCTCATTCAATATACATGATGAGTGAAGACCGGAGTGGATCTTTCCATTTTCCTCCAAACATGAAACATAATCGCAATATACTAATTCTCCCCAGGTTTTTACACGTTGTTTGTTCTAAACTTTAGCAAAAATCCGTTCTTTTCAAATATATATATCCCATTGGGCAGCGTTTGGGTCTTCTGCAAACACCATGAAGCGGAAAATGCGCCCAGTTTTCAGCGCAATTGTGTTCTTAGCACTGGGTATGACGCTTATTGTCCGTGTTTTCCTCAGATACTGCTCAATTGAGTCAAGAATTGAAAACCCTTTTGCGAAAATGGCCCAAAAAGTGGTCTTCAATGAGACCCTTACCAAGTACGCACGCATAGACATTGGGGAGCCTCAGTTGAGGAAGGAGGTTGAGGAGCTGTTAGAAGGTAATCTCCGAACTCATGGCCGTCATAGATCTTTCCTGTCTTCTGGTAGACATCGTATTGATCTTAGAATCAGGTCGTCTGATGGTATGCCACTGCAGCTCCGGTCCCCTGAGTTTGACATCCTATGGTCTGGTTTTCGGAGGTGTTTGCGTGATTGGTTCCGTAATAGGAGGTTTCAGACAAGCTCCATGATTGACTTTTTCTTTGAAGTGAAGGCTTTGATTGATAAGCATAATGGGAAAACAGAGAAGATGAACAAGAAGAGGAGGTTTAGTTCATGTGCTGTTGTGGGGAATAGTGGGATTCTATTGAATAGTGAGCAAGGGAAGTTGATCGATGGCCATGAGGTTGTGATCCGTTTAAACAATGCCAAGATCGAAGGGTATGAGCGTAATGTGGGATCGAAAACAAGCTTTTCGTTTGTGAATAGCAACATATTGCATCTGTGTGCGAGAAGGGAAGGGTGTTTCTGTCATCCTTATGGCCCAAATGTGCCCATAGTTATGTACATTTGTCAGCCAGTCCATTTCTTCGACTACATGTCGTGCAATTCGTCTTTCAAGGCACCTTTGATTGTCACTGACCCACAATTCGATTTGTTGTGTTCTATGATTGTAAAGTACTATTCTTTGAAACGGTTCGTGGAGGTTTCGGGGAAGAATGTGGATGAATGGGGGGCTTCACATGATGGGGTTAACTTCCATTACTCTTCGGGTATGCAGGCTGTTATGCTGTCTTTGGGAATGTGTGAGGAAGTTAGCATTTTCGGGTTTGGGAAATCGGCATCAGCCAAGCATCATTACCACACTAATCAGAAGGCTGAGCTCAAGCTGCATGACTATGAGGCAGAGTATGATTTGTATGGGGATTTGATGGAGAGGCCTCAGCTAATTCCCTTCCTTCCCGATAAGTTCACGGTCCCACGTGTTTCTATACACCGATGATCGCAAGGTAATGGGAGAGATTTTCTGTCTAAAGACTTAAATCACTTTGATTCATCAATGCCCTGAATTTATCCAACCTCTGATGAGGTGCAAGCCAAGTGTAGAATGTAATGTCAGTTGCTGAATTGTACCCTTTTTTAGTATTTCCAAGTTCTCAAATAGATAGTGTTTTGCTGGAGGTCATCACTTGTAATTCTACTGTTGTCCTTGACATCATGATATGGCCATATGGGAAATGAGCTTTCTAGGAAGTTGAGTAATTATGCAGTGCTTTTATTTTTGTAAAGCTCAATTATCATTTATACCTTCATGTTTTTGGGATGGATAAAGTTAGGGGTACCCAAAATTCTGTACCCTAACTTGCAAACCAGTGTATCACAGATAACCGTTGTTTGTGTCTGTGCACAGATAATGGTTGTCTGTGTGTGTGATACACTGGTGTGCAAGTTGTACTACAAAGTTTGAATCATCCTAGCACATCCATTTTGTGTATTGTTTATTTTTTGGACAACCGAGGCACTGACAATAATATGCAGGCAGTAACATGTTGAAAAGCATGATGCTTGAGCTCTTTTGTCCACTCTAGTTATTGGAAGCATTGTGTGTGGGGGTGTGGGGGGGGGGACATGTGGGATTGGATTCCCTAGAGATTGGGAATAGGCACAATGAACAATATCACCAGTGTCTATGCTTCTTCGTACCATGTCATGTACTCCACTTTGTACCCAAAGCATTACCCTGACATTAAATATAGGTACAAAACTAGTATTATGCTAGTGTTGCACCTACATTTAATGTCAAGGTAATACTTTGAGGTACAAAGTAGGGTACAAATATGGGGTACATGTAAGCATACTCCCAAAATAATTTCAGTAGTCTTTCTTGTAAGTTGTAACATGAATAAAAGTCATTAACTCACATACATTTTCGATTAACTCATTGACTAGTGGTCCTTGTCCCTTAAAACTCTGCAATCTAAGTATGAGGCAGTAACACCTAGACCTGGTAAAAAAAACCCGATATGTTATTGATCTGAGATTCGATTTGAAAATGCTGGGTTTTGAGCAAAGGCTTAGTTGATTGGACTCGAAATGACCCGCTAAAAATGGGTCAAACCTGACCGATACCGAACACGACCTTACCGACCTGCTAATGCAAGGATTTTTTAAAATCATATTCTTTAATATGAAATATAATGTTATAAAAATAAGATTATTTTGTCATATTCATTTTCTTACTACTCATTTTTAATGTTTAAATTTATATTTTTCACACAAAATTTTAATGATATCACATAATTATCTTATTTTTTCAAAATTCTGCCTGTTTATTTTTTTATTCGTAATATTAATACTAGGTCATAAAAATTACTTAAAATTTCAAAAAATAAATAAAGCTCATAATCCGTTGAGTCAACCCGAACCCGATGCACTAGGTCATGTACATGTATTCTCAACTCAAATCCGAACCCAAAGTGACCGAATCCAAACCCGACATGAACGAGCTATTTGACAGCTCTAGCTAACATCATAGCTACAAGGCCAAAATCTATATGTAAAATCTCTATATGTATAATACTAAGTGTTCCAGTATACGAACTTAAGAGTAAAAAAATACATTTTTGATTGTTTTCACATGAAGGATCTTGGTTTATTGAAATATTTCTTGGGAATAAGGTGGCTCGGGACAAAGATGAGATTTTCTTGTTCCAGCGCAAGTATGCTTTGGCCATTTTGACTGAAACGGAGATGTTCAGGGCACAACCTGCTGCTACTCCATTGACGCTGAATCATGGCTTAGCCCTGGCAACCAGGGCCAAACATCCTGAACCCGGTCGCTACCGCCAAGTGGTTGGTCGCCTTATCTACTTGACTATCTCCGGCCTGTCCTGACTTAGCATATTTTGTTCATACACTCTCTCAGTTCATGGGTGCCCCACGACAGGAACATTGGGATGCCACTCAACAAGTTTCGTGCTACATCAAACCACATATCGGATATGGGCGGTTTCTTCCAACTTCTAATAATCTCTCTCTCACAACTTATTGTGATTCCGACTGGGCAAGTTGCCCGCTTACTCGTCGATTTGTGGCAGGTTATTTTATTAAACTCCGTGAATCTCCAATTTCTTGGCGCACAAAGAAATAGAACATAGTTTCTCGCTCCTTTTCCGAGGCCGAGTATCGCGCCATGGCGCACACAGTTGCGAGCTCAAATGGCTTCGCTCCCTCTTACTCTCATTAGGTGTGCGTAATCACAAACCTATGAAGCTTTTCTGTGACAGTTAAGCTGCTCTCCACGTTGCTGCTAATCTTGTGTTTCATGAACAAAGAAAGCATATTAAGATTGATTGTCATTTCATTCGTGACAAACTTCAGGAATAAGGGTACTTCGTAAAGCTCACATCGCTTCTGCAGAATAACCAGCTGATCTTCTTACTAAAGCTTTACTTATGGCGCCATTTAGTCATCGCTTTACTTATCCTCCATGTTTCCTACTATGATTTGTCTCCTATGATTTGTTTCCTACTAGGAATTATCTTGTCTCTTATAAATCGAGGAGAACTTCTTTGTATTAGACAGAACCACATAATATACAAATTTCTTTCTCGAAATTATTTCCAACAGAACTACGTCACACTTTTGAAAATAATTTTGTGGCCTTTACCATTTCTCTATCTTCTGCATCACTATCAAACATACAATTTCACCTTTTTAAATTTTTGAAGTAAATTTCCAAAACGGTCATTTCTAATAAAAAATTTCCCAAAGTAGTTCTCAATAAGCAATAATTACCAACATGGTCCTTTGTAATTGAGATGTTTTCCTAAATAGTCCTTTTCAAAAATGCCTATTAAATGACAGCTAAATGGAGGATATTTTTTTATTTTTTATTATCTAAATTATGAATAAACCCTCAAAATTGGTCTTTTCAAATTAAGTGGTGGCTGCTAGAAAACGGACTTACCCCGAGTAGGCTTATGGACTCAATTTCGGAAAAATATTTACTTAGAAAATATCAGTTTAGAAAAATACTTAACTATAGGAGCATTTTGAGAATACACTTTAAATCTAGGTGATAAAAAATACAAAATACTTCTATTTTACTAATGTTTAATAGACACTTTCGACATACGACCATTTAGGGAATAAATCTAAATTATAAAGGATCACGCATGTAATTATTATTGCTTATTGAAGACTAATTTGATAAAATACCTTATTAGAAAAGACAATTTTGAAAATTTACTCAAAATTTTTATGTCAATAACTCATTTTTCTTGATTTTTTAATATAGATCAGATATTTAATTTTTTTTTATCAATCATGCTAGAAGTAACCCATGAAATATATCCCAAATTGTACACCAAAACTATGTACTAACATTTCGAGGGTTTACACTGGCACAATATGCTAGTGTGATCAGAAAAATTTACGCAAGCATTTTATGCATGCTAAACCATCATCCTAACATCACACTAGCATAAAATGAAGGTGCATACCTACGGTGTTCAAATAGCTTAATTGACTTTTCATTTAATTCAAATTCAGTTTTACTGTATTCAGTTCGGATAATCGATTTCTTGCCTGTTTTGTCTCATCTTTGTTTTTTTAGACCTACACTATGACAATTGAGATCCCATAGTATATATAAGCTCTAAATTAAACTCCGTGGAACACTGTTTTTTTACACTGAATAATTTACGGCAACGAAGATAGTGTGTTGGTCGACTGTTTTTCGCGAGACAAATTGCGCCGAACTAAACTTCCCCCAAACATACGTTTACCCTCTCAATCATCTCACGCAATTGCACTAATCTTTATCTTCAACTTTTCAAATAATCCAGCTTTATTTTTTTTATTACAGTATAAATTTCAGCAACATTTTCGTAAAATTAAATTCCAATCTCCTCACAAACCCATAGCAGAAAATATAATGAATCTTCTACCACCAAAAGCTTTATCAAATAATCCATGCCTCCTCCTCTCTTTCCCTCTGACCATCATAGGACAGAGCCCTACATGCAAGACCAAATCATACATTAAACCCACAAAATTGGACGTGACAGCAAAAAAATGTGCAACAATAATGAACTCAGTCAGTCCTGCCCATGACCAAATCACCATTCCAGAGAAAGCGCCCATTAAAAAGCAGAGGAAGGCCGTCCTTCCCAATTCTTGCCCTCTAACCCCGGTGGACTTCCTGGAAAGGGCAGCCACAGTGTACGGAGACTGCCCTTCGGTCGTGTACGACGACACGACTTATACGTGGTCGGAGACGTACCGGCGGTGCTTGAGCGTGGCTTCGTCCCTCTCGTCGCTCGGGATCAAGAGGGGCGATGTCGTCTCCGTCTTGGCCCCGAATGTGCCCGCCATGTACGAGCTCCATTTCGCGGCTCCCATGGCGGGTGCGGTTCTGAACACGATTAATCTCCGGCTGGACGCCCGGACGGTTTCCGTTTTGCTCCTTCACAGCGAGTCGAAACTGGTGTTCGTGGACTACCAGTCGACTTCCTTGGTCCTTGAAGCCATGTCTTTGTTCCCATCCGCGGCTTTGTTCAAGCGTCCGATTTTGGTTTACATTAACGAGGAAGAGGATGACAATTACGGGGAGAGGTTCGGCATTGACGGTAACGGTTTGTTTCATGACTGTTACCGAGACATGGTGCGAAGGGGTAGTGGTGGGTTCAGGTACGTGGGGCCGGAGAGCGAGTGGGACCCGATAACGTTGAATTACACTTCCGGCACCACTTCTTCTCCCAAAGGGGTACTCCACTCTCACCGCGGGGCGTTCACCGTCACCGTCTCCAGTTTGCTCCATTGGTCCGTGCTGCCGCAGCCGGTCTACTTGTGGACGCTCCCCATGTTTCATGCCAACGGGTGGAGTTTTGCTTGGGCAATGGCGGCTGTAGGAGGGACCAACATTTGCCTCCGCCAACGAGTTGACGCGAGTCTGATCTACCACGCGATTGAAAAGCACGGGGTGACTCACTTCTGCGGCGTGCCGGCGGTGCTCAACATGCTAGCCAATCACGGGAACGCAAACCCGCTTCGCTCTCCGGTTCACGTCCTCACGGCCGGAGCTCCACCGCCCTCCCCCGTGCTAGGACGGGTTGAGTCCTTGGGGTTTCGGGTGACCCATGGGTACGGTCTGACAGAGACAGGGGGGATAGTGGTGACGTGCGCATGGAAGCCCAAATGGGAGAAACTTCCGCCTTCTGACAGGGCGGCGCTCAAGGCGAGGCAAGGAGTGAGGAGCATCGGGTTTGGCGGGGTCGACGTGGTGTACGCGCACAACGGGGAGAGCGTGGAGCGAGACGGGAGCACGGTGGGGGAGATTGTTTTAAGAGGCGGTAGCGTAATGCTCGGCTACTTCAAAGACCCCGAAGGAACGTCGAAATGCATGAGAGACGACGGGTGGTTCTACACCGGCGATGTCGGGGTGATGCATGAGGATGGGTACATAGAAGTCAAAGACAGATCGAAGGACATCATCATTTGCGGCGGAGAGAATATAAGCAGCGTGGAGGTGGAGTCCGTTCTCTACATGCATCCGGCGGTCGATGAAGTGGCGGTGGTGGCGCGACCGGACAAGTTTTGGGGGGAAACGCCGTGGGCATTCGTGAGTTTAAAGAGAGGGGCAGAGAAACCGACGGAGAGAGAGGTGAGGGAATTCTGCAAGGAGCGGCTGCCGCTTTACACGGTGCCAAGAAGGGTGGTCTTCAGGGAGGCCCTCCCCAGGACGTCCACCGGCAAGATTCAGAAGTTTTTACTTAGGGATATTGCAAGGAAATTAATGTAGGAATAAATATAATTTGACATAGAAATCAATAAATAAACATTACCTGGGTTGTTGCTAACAATGCTTCCACTGCTTGTCTTGAAACCGAAAGCAATGCCTCCCCAGACAAAAGTGCAATTCCTGTATTGGTTTGACATTGTCATCATCAAATGTGTCATTGTGTGGCAACTTCAAGTTCATAAAACTTCTATGGTTTATTTTTTTCATATATCATTTTTACCACATCAGATGTTTCTATTTTAATGATGATGATGATTCAAAGTATTTCGCATCACATAAATTACTTGCAAATATAAAATATTTCAAAACAAAAACACATAAGACTTTCTTATCCACAAGATCAAGATGAATTAATTAGTGTTATGCACACTTCTGGTTTATACTTCCTTACCGAGAAAACACATTGAGTTGTCCAACTTGCATCCTCAGAAACGACATTGTGAATCAGTGACCAAGGCAGCCCGGATTCTAAAGATTCAGTAGATTCTAAAGATTCAGTAGTGTACCCGAAGGATCAAAATTAGACATTTTAAGATAAAATTAGACGAATATCAACCCCATAACTGTACTCCAGAATTGATTCAAATATCAATTTCATGTATCAAATCTCAATGGATTTGAACACCAAACTCAGTCTAAATTGATCGGAATCATGACAAGAGCTCCTCGGATCCCCAATGAAACTTGCAATGCAACAAATCTACTATATCAGTTTTTGTTAAACCCTTGATGCATCACTACATTTACCGCCCATAACTTTATAGAAAGTAAGGTGCATTACACAAAAGAAACTTGCTTAAAAATAAATACATCTAATAATTAATCAATGTTTTTATATGAACAATGTTAAGAAATTGTTAGAGTTGTGCAAATAAGAATGGAAATATCGAGACAGCATTGAAGGAAAATTAATGTTAAAATATTAGAATTGTTCAAATCCATCAATACTGCGGCATTGAATCCAATGGGCTCCGAAAATTCACAATGTCAAAATCTGCCACCATTTGATTTCCTTGCCCAATTGTTCCGACGGCCAAAATTCTAGTTCCCCGTGTATATTCCCAAAGGTGCAAAGCCAAGTATCGCTCCATATGTTTGGTGGGTGTAGAAGTGTGACTAAAGTTATATCTCTAGCACTGGGAGATGCATGGAACAACACTGTTAGGATTTGAATCCAAGAATTCAGATCATTGTATATGGTTCCATAACCAGAGGTCACATTGCCCTCATTGCTCCATCTGGGCAAATCAAAGCAAGTTTCTCTCGAAAATAAATGTTCTTGAGATTCTCGCTGCAAGGGAAAGAGATGCGATATTTGAAGTTGACATCCACTGAAAACAATCTTCCAATTAAGTAGCAAGATGAAAACTGCTAAACATGAGAAACTTTCCTTCAATTACTAACCAAGTAGTATCCCTAAATGTTTTACCCAAACAAGATTTTGCCTTTTTGGTTACAGATTGCAACCATAGAATCTGAAGAGAAACAAACAGACTCCTAATTTTGTTTATGTGGCCGCGATCCGTAGCAAAAAAAGAAAAATTTTGGGTAAAACATTTAGTGATACCACTTCGTTAGACATTGACGGAATGTTTCTCCCGTTAAAGAGTTTTCATGCTGCTACTTGGAAGATAATTTTCAGTGGATTTGAACTTCAAATATTGCATCGCTTTCCCTTGCAAAGAGAAGAATTAGTGAAGTTGAGATCCCAATTGAGCTTGGAAGCTCGAGAACATTTATTTTTCGAGGGAAACTTGCTTTGTTTAGCCCGAGTGGAAATCCGCAACAGGGGCAATGCCACATCTGGCTACTGAATATATACAATGATCTCAATTCTTGAACTCACATCCTAAGAGTGTCGTTCCATATATCTCCTAGTGCTAGAGATAGGACTTTAATCACACCTCTATCCCCACCAAACATAGGTAGTGATACTTGACTTTACACCTTCAAGAATATACACACAACAACGGAAATTTGGCCATCTAAACATTTGGCAAGGAAATCAAATGGTGCCTATCTTGACATTGTGATCTCTTTGGAACCCATGAGGTTAGGCGTCACACATGTGAAGTGACGTACAAATAAGAGAGCTTAAGATAAACGTTGCATAACTAATATGTGTTACATTAATTTTCCTTCATCCATGTCTCATTCTTAAGGCCAATGGAATAAAAAAAAATGGAATCAAAGATTGTTTATTTCTAACTGGGCCAATGGCTTGTTTGGCATGGGTGGGCTGTGGGCACATATGAACATGCTTCTAGAGTCTAGGCTCATTTGATGCAAGCTAGGTCAATCTCATACCCGATAGTTGACAATTAAAATGATGAAACCCTAGTTTCAAAATTGACCGGGCCCAACAGTTGTATAAATCTAACTAGTGGTCTTCTAACATAAATTATTTTGCTTTTGATTTTCTATTTTAAAAATTAGCAGAACACAAGCATACATATCACTAGCTATGAAACGAGTGATAAAGTAAATGAGAAGGAGCTGAATCTCTAACATTTTGCAGTTGCAAAAGAAATTTACCTAAATAATCCTAAAGCATAGAACTTATACCAAAATAAGACTTCATATATTTTTATTCCCTAAATAGAAGCATTAACTCTATGACATGCCACAATTTGGCATTACATGTTGGCAATATGTATTGACACTATTGGTTTTATAAATCTTTTTTTGGTATAAGAACATTAAAGGTTTTATTTTGGTTTATAAAGCATGTTTTAGTCCTAGTTAGGTATTTCTCCATAGCTGCAGCCATGAATGTATCCCAGATTTGTTTAATCTATAACCACATAGCATATTTTAACATCTAACTTAGAAACTTTACATTATATCATACTCTATATTTTTAAGAAAAATGCATTAAACTTTGTCTTTAATCCCATAACTTCGCTCCATATTTAATTTGAATAGCGTTTTCATGTCGCAATGGATTCGAACACCAAACTTTGTCTCAAACTAGTGTATTTGAAGTTTAGCAAGGACCTGACTAAACATTAATCAAATAATCCGAAAAATTCTTAATATCCATATATGTTAGGGTATAAATTTATATAGCTTTTTGAAACTTAACAGGGGCCTCACCTATTGTGGCATTTGAAAGTTGTGATCCTCAAAGTTTATATAAATTTATATAGGTGTTTGAAAGTTGTGATCCCTAAAACCTCCACTGTGCTGTGGACATATATGCGATATCTCTACCGCTTGGCATTGAAATAGCAATGCCAAGATTCCGCGTCCAACATTGCACATGAACCCTTTCTGATGAGAATACTGGAGATCTAGATTCACAATCTTAAATACCTATTGTACATTTCAAAGAATTATTACATGGTACTTGTGCAATAAATATCAAGATTTGGTAGAAACCATAGAATTAGAACAACAAAACTTACAATATCTTCGTACCTAGGCCTTGCATGGAACCAAATGATGCAAGTCTTCCTGTTGTTGTCAAGCCTTTGTCATGTCTACAAGATCTGGGTAGAAAATATTGAATTTGTAACCCTATCTTTGGTAGGGGATTGTCATGGCCATAATGGGACTGATTGTATATGTTCGTTTCATAACCTGGGTGAACCCTATTTTAGGATAGACGATAAAGAAAATGTGAAACCTTTTAATGGGACAAATGGGGTATATAAATTCATGGAGACCTATAGACTATAGTTTTTCTTTTCCTTGACAGAAAGAGTGTTATATACAGGGAGCTAAAGGAATTTGTAACAGTCCTCTGGCAGTCAAACATGTTTTGCAATATTTGCTAATGCTCAACATTTCCTCCTCTTATCATACCTTTTCAATTGCTCTTTCATCCCTTCTCTTTTTCACCTTTCACTCTCTTTTTCAGCCTGCATTACCACTTTGAATTATTTAGTTTGCCAGCTTTCTAATTTAACCAGACTATGTGACTTTCCTGACCCTATGCTAAAAAAGAAGCATAAAATCCTCTTCCACCAAACAAATTTGAAATACAATGTCAAACTGTTTCTAGCCTACACTTACATAGTTGAGGGCAGCTCATGTAATAATCCCATACGGAGGACTTTCCAGTCAGATTACCAGCTCCAATCTTATACTACTACTCGGTATTGCATACGAAGTAATTAAGGAGTATATAGAAGTCCAAAATTTGCATAATAATGGGCCAAATACAATCACTTTTTAAGCAACTATCTAAAGAGGCTAGTCAAAAAATGACTTACATCTCAGTGAGATTGGAATCTATCTCCGAATGGATTGGAATCATTAGAGTAACCAGAAAGTGTTTGGACCTTGAGCTTCTTTGCAGCTAGCTAGTATTGCCTGTAAAATCCCAACCCATTAAGATAGTTGCTAACCCTGTCAGTGGGAAACCCTAGAATGGCTAGAAAACCATATAGGAGAAAAATGAAAGAAGCTGAATTCGAAAAAGAAAAAAAAAAGAAGGGAAACTCAGGCGTCATACTCGAAGACAAAGAAGACGCCAATTCCATCTTTTCGCGTCAGCCCAACCCAACTGGTTGGAAAATTTAAGTTAAGAGAGTAAAAGAGTACAACAACAACAACCCAGTTGAATCCCACAAGAGTAGGATCTGGAGAGGACGTGTGTACGTAGACCTTACCCCTACTCGAAAGTAGAGAGGCCGTTTCCAAAGAGACCCCCGGCTCAACGTTGAAAGTCGCATTGCTTGACTAACTGCTACTTCATTAATTAAAGAAGCACAGACAGTTTAGAAATCCATTTTGATTTATTCTATCAGACTCCAAAGCCAAAAAATGGTGAAATTTTGGCTCCATCGGAGATGATGGAAAAAGAGAGTAGAAGAGTGCTGGGGAATAATTGGGGGTACACCACTTGTACACCAAGTCTAAATTAGGCACACACAGATAATGGCGCACGGTATTCCCAAATCCCAATAGTCCCAATATTTTCAATAATGAAAATAGTCAACAAACGTTAGCTCATTGGAAACCAAACCATCTTATAATAATAATATTAGGAAAAAATAGGCTCGGTTCCGTCGACACTAGCTTATGGTATCACTGCGATTTTAGAATAATACATCCGGTGCCGTTCGCAAAAGTGATAGTTCTTATCCTCTAACTCACCTCCTAAAGTCTAAACCCCCACTTCCTAAAATTCTCACCTCACACCCAAAGGATATTATTGAACTTTATCCTTAAAAAGTAGATTAAAAAAGAAATAGAAAAATTATTTTTGGATGGACGAAAAAAGAAAATAGGAAAAATATTTTGGGATGAAGTATAATGTATACGTGGTATGTAGACCCATTATTTTAATTTATCCACGAACTCACAATTAAGGCGGCGAAGACACGGATAGAGCGATAATGAACCCTGCTGGTCTCTATATATATTAATCACCCATGCATTGGTTCTGAAATCTCATTCTCCATCATTTTATTATTATTATTATTGGGTATTATTATTCCTATTATTACGTATAATTATAAATTATTGTTATGGCAAGGATTTCCACCAAGTTCGTCGTCCTCTTTCTTACCTTTGTGTTATCGGTTCTTTTTCTAGTTGCCATCCCAGGTATATTTACATATATTTATGCTAAATTTTAACATTGGTCGTGTCATGCACGGTTTAAAAATTCCATTAATAGTCTTTTAACTCATGTTAGCGTTGCATGGTTAATCCTTCAACTTTAAAAGTTTCACAGATCGATGATCTTTCCAACTAAGTCACGCTGGTGTTGCATGGTTGGTCCTTCTATTAATTTGTCAATTTTGTTGACTGTAAAAAGTTAAAATTTGATAAAAATTTTAAGGCCGAGTGATATTTTTTTAATAAAATTCAACTCAAAAAAGCAAAAGCTACTTATTTTATTTTAAAAATTTGTAGTAATTAAAGCAATAGTAACTGTTACTATTAAAAATAGACCTATATTAAATAAGGTTCAATTATATAAAGAAGAAAATGTTTCTCACATGTAATTAAAATGATATATATATATATATGGAAGAACCAACCATGCAATGCTAACATGACTTGAACGACTATTTGTGAAACTTTCAAAGTTAAAGGACCAACTATGAACCGTTAACATGTAACATGACTTAAAGGACCATTAATGGAATTTTCAAAGTTAATGGACCAACTGTACATGACGCAGTAACTTGAAGGACCAACAGTGAAATTTACCCAACATATTTACTTCCATATTTATCAACTTGTTTAGTCGTACGGGATTGAAGCTATAGTTAATGATATAGGTCCATTATTGAATTAAATTAATACATGTACCATTTTTTTAATTATTATTTTGATGCATGCGTGAACTATAACATATTATTATGATCAATGAGCAGATGGAGTGATGGCACAAAGAGATGATGGGTGCAAGACAATCAGCCAATTTTGCGGGGGTATTGTGGGATTTCCATGTTGCAAGGGACTAAATTGCAAGCTCGAGGGCAATTTCCCTGATGCTGGTGGTGTTTGTGTCCGTCAACGCTTTTAACTAGACGAATTCCGTCCATATTTGACACCACTTTTGACATCATAGTATTTTACAAACATACACCGATATAATAAATGTTTGTATGTGTATATATAAGATTATAGTGTTAAAAGATAGTGTCAAGTGTGGGTTCATGAGGTTCTACTATCTATAGAAGGCGCCTCGAATGAAGAAGCGACCAAACACTTTGGTATTGGATGTGTGTTAATGTGTTATTGTTCTTTTATATTGAATAAAATTATTTGTATTGTGAACTACTCTGTCTCATTAATTTCTTACACATGTATTATGATTCATGGTTCATATTATTTTCAACTCATTTGATTTAAATATTTGTACAAAACTAAAACATGATATCCCCACATGGCTCACCTAAGACGGCTGTCTTGGAAGCCTAGGCGCTTTCTGTTTGCCTAATCTGATCTGATTATTTGAAGATCTGGTCTGATCTGATCTTAGTTTTAATTAAAGTTGTTTCTGATCTGGTCTGATCTAATCTGATTATAATAAAAATAAATAATAAGCAGAAAAAATAAGTTGAACAGAATGCTACCTAGACACCCAGACAAACTTTAAGGATAAAAACAAGGCGGGTTGCCTAAGCCGCCTTTTAGGACAACGCTCTAATTAAAAGGGCTAAATGAACGCCAGAATATACGAAGTGTAAGAAGCAAGTTTTACACAAGGCAATAATATAAATGCATCCACCATAATTAGAGTCAAGTTCACGAAGTTACCGAAACATTATTATCTGTGACTAAATCACCACTTTTTCCCATTATTGTTATAAGCTGCACCAAGTTTGAAACCTCAATCCTGTTCATTGGATCCGGGAATCAAACTAACTCATATCTGATCTGCAGTTCTCCGGGTCGGGTTTTGGTTCCTTTGAATTCTCGACATCAATCTTGTAGCACTGCCACCACATTGATGCACAGAAGTAATGTCTTTGGTTGACATGGCATCGATCTGGTTACACTATTTCGGAGCACCGTTTAAGACCCTTGGAGATTTACAAACTTTTGACCTCTCATTGCAAGCATCATCAGGCTCTTTCAAATCGTCCACGGGCTTAATAGGTGTTGTCCTACCTTCGGTCTTGGATGTACCATTGTTCCTACCACTGGATTTGGTGTACAGATTGTACACATTGGGAACCCCATTGCTGTCAACCTCCTTGACTTTGTAGGGATAGGAGAGGTCATCGGGATTCTGGGGTAGGGAAGCCGGATCAAGTTCAAAAGATCCCTCAGGTAGTCCTTCCCTTTCAGTTCCACTCAATCTCAAAGAGGGTATTTTGTGGGAGAACCTATAAATCTCATTTGGCTTTATAAAGAATGATGATGAGGAGCCTTGTTCATTGTGGAAGACACTGACAAATCCATTCACTCTATTCAAGTAACCAACTTCAATACCAGCATTGCCAACAAAATCAGAAAGAATTTGCACAACTTCGTACTTAAATGATCCACTGTGCTTATCAGGCTCAGAACTCCAGCTGATATCCCAATCTTTAAATAAAGCCCAAACTTCCCCTTTCATAGGATATATAAAGAATGAACCCCTTTTACCCTTTGCCCATTGCACTTGATGAGAGAAAATGAGACGATCGCAAGTTTCTTCAGTATTACCACGCCTATATTTGCCACAACCAACAGGCAATTCAGATTCAGCCCAATCAATTAAACCTTGATCATCCGGGTCAGCCTCAAGCCAATTGAAACGTAGTCTAAATCCAGCACTAAATACCTTCCTTATTAGGGCATAGAATCTAGGCATAGCATCAACAGGATCATAGCATGCCCATACCTGGTCTACTGCAAAGCAGCCGGCTTCTTTTTCCTTATCAAAATCATAAAACTCCGTATCAGGATAGTCATATTTCTGAGAAGCTAAATAATTCAGATCAACAGAACCAGATTCCGATTCTAAATCAATAATTACTTCAATCTTTTGGGTAATGTTTTCTGCTGAGAAAGAAGCACTGCTGTTTGCTTTCTTACTGGAGACTTTTTTTCCTTGATTGTTTTGTTCCTGAGGAACTTTGTTTTGTTTTCCTTTTGCCTCATGGTTACCACATGTAGCTTGAAGATCAGCAGACTTTCCATATTTAGAATCATTACAATACGCTTCTTGCTTGTCTTTGCTGTTGTGTCCAGCTGAACACCCGTGTCTTGCTTTTTTAGAGGAGCTTTTGTTGTTATCGCCATCCTCTCTACTGTCATTGTATGAGAATTCCTTCTTGCGCCTATGAGACATCCTGACACAACCACCATTAACACCAAAACCCTTCCATTTGGAAGCAGGATTTGTTTGACTATGCATTTGCTCTTCAGGTGTAACTGTCCTTACACTGGGGCAATGTTGAGGTTCCATGTGGGCTGATGAAAATCCAGCTGCCTCAGAAGCCTTTTCAGTGGCTCTGTTATCACAAAAATTTTTATGCTGTGAAGGCTGACTGAAGACAGTTCTAAAGGGCTCTGCCTGACCACCAGGAGGTATTCCGTGAAAACCCAAGTCATAAGCGACAAACACATTATTGCAATTCTGGCAATTTAAGGCTCGGTTCACTGCCTCTTGGTTACATGGATACTTAGTATTGCAACAAGGACACGAGGTCCAGAATATTTTTTCCTTGTTGACCTGATTATGAAGTGGCTTCACCAGAGTGTTTATTTTTGTAACTTTGCATTTGAAGTCAAATAAAGACCTTTTCCCTCGGTCAGAAAGCAAAGCATTTGCTTCTCCAATGAGCTTAAAAGCGGCTTCAGCACCGGGAAAATTATTCTTATCCGGGTGTAGGACAAGTGCAAGCCTCCGAAACTGTTTCTTAATAGTTACTTCATCAGCAAATCTATCAACTTGAAGGATGCCATACCAATCCTTTTCTGAACCGAATATATTGTTTTTAGCTGAACATTGAACATTACATACTGCTAATAGTTGGGAAATGTTGCTAAGTTCAGGGTAAAGACGTTGTGCTTTTAAGGCAACCTTTTGAGCCCCTTCAAAGTCATTGTGCTGCATTTTCTTCTCAGCTAGTTCTTTGGCCCGGATTGCCTCATCCTTGTTGCACTCCATCACAAAGCTCAATTAACAAGACAACTGTCAAAATTACCCAATGGCTTAAAAGAATCAGCAACATGTTACTTAACTTGATTTTATTGGCCAACAAAAAGGAAAAAGGGGGCAGTCATTATCTCCATGAACAAAAAAAAGCAAGAGAATCAAAGTTCAGCATTTTCTGTGTATGTGTGTGTGTCTGCAAGCATACATACATAAAACACATATGCATATGAAACTTGACGTGAGAAATGAAAATAGTGCACTTAGAATTCATCAGAAATGCATAATTAGCCATCCCCAAAATAACTGACTTAACCAAATCAAGATCAAATACATTTTGGAAATAGCTCCAAAGTCCAAACTCAATAAACCAGATCATAACAAAGCTAAAGAAACTAGAACCGAACCTAAAATGATGACCTCTACTTTGATCTATCATGTTACACTGGCCTAAAATCAATATGCAAGTGGAGAACACAGTTTGTCTTTAGTTCTGAATAAAAGATTAAACCACCTAAATTTCATACAGCGCATTTGATCAAAATGTAGGAATTACATATAAGCAAATTCATTTTTAGGTTTCCACTATTATAATTCATGAAATACAATTGTGAACTGGGAAACAAATTCATCTTCTGAGGTTGATGCAAGCCAATGATCCATGTATTCATCTTCTGCAGACTTCAGAGTATTACTCACCCTCTAAGAAGTAACCAAATGATATGAAATTGCTTTTGAAATTCCCTTCATAACCGAAGAAAAAAGGAGCAAAATCATGAAATCAGCAAACAAATAGCCATGTTTTTTCTCCCATCCTAAAATAGCTACCGACCTTAATTTCTCAATTCCATTGATTCTATTAGAGGAAATGATCCCATACCTGACAATACTAATATTACAAACCCATGCAAATCCATCAATCAAATAAAGCCAGTAATTCAGGATTGTCCAGATGTTTCAAACAAGGGAGATCAGACATTAAGAAGTACATAAAACTACAAAAAGGTCAAGCAGGTAGGATGGCTATATAATCCATAGAATTTCATTTATTGGCACAAATATATACCTACGAATGCTAAGGTCGCACAAGCTCGGAACTAAACTCGGGAATTCATGTCCAGCAAAAGCCCTAAATTAAGATGTTGAGCAAATAGATTGACGATCCAGAGCTCCAATCTGCAAAAAGAGATTCCTGCAAAAATGAAATCGGATAGGCTTCCTTTCAGTTCGAGAATGAAAAAAAAAACAATCAAAATACACGAAGAAGATTGAAAACCCTTACGCATTTGAATTCAGGAAGAAGAGTGCTCTACAGAGTTTGACTTGGAGGAGAGATCGAAAGTTATGAGGCGAGGGAAGACAGTCGCGGGAAATAGAAAATGAAAATTAAGCTGGCGGGAAAAGCAGAAACCCCAATTTCTTACTCGGCAATATACTCAATTAATGCAGAAATCAAACGGAGATGAACACGGAAACACCTATTCTGAAGCAATTGTGGTACTTAGTAACCCAAATTTCTACCCCATTATATATACCTCAATGCTTTGCACGAACACAAAATGTAAGTGCAACACTAATATATACTTTCTCCATCTACAAATAAACTTTTTGTTTACTATTCACATCGTCAAACTTCATTCACTTTGTTAGCCTATTTTCGTCCGTTTGATAAAATAATATAGTCATGTCACATCTAGTTTTGTAGAACTTTTAATATAGTTTTTTAATATGTAATTTTTGTTTTAAAATCTTACATCATTTTTCATATAAAATGATTTAAAAATAACTTAAGTCAAACATCATATCGCGCAACAGAAAGATTATTTGTGGACGGATGGAGTATAAGGTTTTTTTTCTTTGCAATTTCCTGAAACTAACTCTTGAAACTCATCCATGAAGGTACTGTAGTTTCAATTTTGGATTCCACCCGAAAGATGAACAATTGAGAGAAGAGTGATGGTTTTGGTTTGGGTTCAGAGGTTCAAACTCAGCGACGATTCGGGAAGGAGTACAAGAGGAGGGATGAAGCTTAACATGGGAAAGAGGAGTGTGAAATTTCAATGTTATCTATGTTCTTATCGGGATTATTAACAGAGGACCATTCGTAGAAAATAATATAATAATTAAAGACTAAATTATTGATATTTGATAAAGAAATCACTCTACGTAACACTCTAAGTCACTCAATATTACGCATGTAGCACTCCTTAATCTTTTATACGAATTTAGCGATTTATAGTGTCAATATCTTCCAAGCATACCATCTTCTTTTTATTATATTCTACTATTTATAATTACTTTTAATTATTTGATTAAACTTAGGTTGTTCACATAATCACTCCTCCTCATACGTGCGGCTCCTCCTCATTCGTGTGTCTCATACGTGCGATACGTCGTTTACCATAGCTCTGCGAGATCTTCTTCCTACGAAGTTTACCAATATATAATGCTTAAACAAGTTCGTACGTATTAAATTAAGTTTCATATTTAACGCCTATGTTTGGCCAATGTGTTTTGGTGTAATAGACTATTCATGAAATCAGTCATACACTTTTGGGCAGTGTGGAATTTAAACATGAACATAGTCATACACATTTTTGGCAGTTTGAAATTCATACATGATAACATTATGGAATTTATACATAAAAAGAGATATATTCTTTCAGAGATGAAGGGGGTTTTTTTCTTCAAAATAAGATTGTTTTAATTAGATTTTGTAATTTAAGACTGAAATTAGTATTGTATTTTTCATATAATATCTAATCAAAGACTTAATTTTTTTTATATCAAATCTTCCCCTCTAAAGCTCAAAATTTCCCTCATTCCTTTTCACTTCCCCTGCTAAATCTTATCAACAATTCAACCCATTTCTCAATTTCTACTCATCTTCAACTCTTACACCTACTTTCTTTCAATTGATGCTTCACCTTGTTTTTCAAATATTTTATTTCCTTTAATTTTGTTAATAACAAAATAGTTGGCTTACTTTACTCAATCAATATTTTATATGTATAACTTATCTTCAATTTCTAAATATAATAAATTTAAAGCATGAAATTTTGTAATTTTCTTTCAAGATGGTAATCCATTTCATGAGGGAATGAGCAAGTAATGTAATTATTTCAAATGTTACAATAAAAGTAAAAAATTTAAAAACACAATATGCTTATTAAAAGGCAAACAGAGTTCCGAATTGATAGGTTTTTAGTTCTAATCGGGTTCGGATATTATAAGTTTCAGATCTAATCGGTTTCAGATTTATCCAGTTCGGGTATTATCGGTTTCGAATCTAATCGGTTTCGGGTTTAATCAGTTCGGATATTATCGATTTCGGATCTAATCGGTTTCGGATTTAAATCCGATATGAATTATTTAGTTCGGTTTTGGTTCGATTCAGATCATTTTGGGTTTTCAATTATTGATCGGATCTTCATTTTTCAAATCATTTTGGTTTTGGTTTCAGATAATTTGATTCGGGTAATCGGTTTCGCTTCTGTTTTGCCAGGTCTAATGGTAGGCAAAGCAGATGTGCGTGTCAGCTACTGACACAACTCTCTACATTTCAGCCCAAAAGAAGCGTACAAGCTCCGGTCAACAACATCCTATACGGGGGAGCTAGGAGTAGTTGCGGGGCGTACGCCGAGAATAGGACGAGATTTGCTTGATGAGAATCGAGCCGTGTGCACCGGGGGGCTACGAATATTTACAAAAAAAGAAGATGTGAAACACGCTCCAAATGATGTTGAATAAAAGAACTAAATTTATTAACTTCTTACATTTCCAAGGTCCACCAACGACTTTGGCCATGCGATGAAGCTCTCCTCGCATTCTGGGACGGTCTCTATGTGCTTAGTCGGACAAAGAATGAGATATTCACGCATTCCATGAAGCACCAAGGTCACAGCCACCTTAACCTGGTGGGGAAGGAGGGGAACGCCGTGCACCACATCTCCCGGTGCACGTGGGAAAATCGATCACTGTGCCACTATATAATCGGCTGGATCAAAGATACTCAAGTAACAAGCAGCAATCTACAAAAAAAATTTAGTTAACTAATGTTGGAAATTAGAGGAATTTGGGTATGGATTTGTAATAGGATTGGTTATTAATTAGAGGAATTTGGGTATGGATTTGTAATAGGATTGGTTATTAATTAGAGGAATTTGGATCAAATTCAAATCTAAATTCTTTAGATTGCCAAACATAATATTTGTATTAAATCTGAATTTTAAATCCAAATCCATGTTCTCAAACAGACCATTAGTTTTTTTCAACTACTCCGTATTTACAATTTCTTCTAACTTCTTTCAATTCTTTCACCTTCGAACTCTCAAATTACGTGCGTTTTGTTATTATTATGCATTTGTGCAGGCACAAAGTTGTAGATTTCAGATTTGGCCCATTAAGCACTAAAACCTAGGCAGGGAAGTATTCCTATTTCCTACAATTTGGCGATTAAAGAAACATGGGATCGGAGGCCATCCAGACCAGTCCGCCGATTAAAATAATTTGTGTGAGAAGAACACAAAACAATTTTATCCAACAATTCGATCGTAGAATAATTCTCTGCACACAATGGAAGAAAACCTTCAAAGATTCTTCAAGGTTTTGATGCCCGGCTTTCATACCAAAATTGTATGCCTCCTCTCTCTTCTTTAACACCCACACACTTTTTTCTACAAAAAAAATCAGGATTCACATTCTTAGGATATGAACACAACAAGCATTTCCTTACCATTTAAAAGTCAAAATTTTGACTTGAAGAGTGCAATTGAAAGAGGTGGGGTGTGTTCAGGTCGGAGCAGGGTGGGGACAAGAACAGTCAATTTTACGAATGAGGAACGAAGTACCCCGGCTCATCCCATCCTAATGTCATGGGAACCAAGGGGATTTTTGTCATGGGTTTTCCTTGTTTTCTTGTTTTTTAGTGTCAAAAGTGATACGTATATCTTTTTTGTCTGGTATGTTTAATTTCCTCGTTTAGTAAGGATTTTACTAGATTTCTTTTGTTGAATTTTACTAATTATGTTTGTTGGTAAATCTAGGTCAGGTTAGATGTGGAATTCAAGAATACAAATTTTGTTTGTTGGAAAAATATAAATGTTTGGGGAAAAAATAATTGAATGTAATTGAAATCAATTTATTAAATGTTGGACGCACAGATGCTTCCCCCAGTGATGGACAATGAGGAGTCATTGATTGGAGAGGAGGCAAAGGAGAGTGAGTTAATCAGCAGAAAGGGAAGATGGAAGGTCACAATAAAGAAAAGTTGTGAAGGGAGTCTTTGGTTCACAGATGGGTGGGGAGAGTTTGTGAGACAACATGACTTGGCTTTGGGTGACTTTGTGGTCTTTAAACACATTGGCGCCCTACGGTTTAAGGTCACTCTCTTTGATCCCACTTGCTGCGAGAAAGACTTCCCTGCCTGTGACCTACAACCACAAACCACTAGTAAGTAATTTGCTCTTCCTTTTAATATTATGAGTAAAATAATTATGATAATTAAGCACCGTTGTTGACATTGAAATCTAATGCCATAGGATGACATTAGTCCATTTAGCTGGTTGTATTTGTGTATAGTTATAGATTTCTTTTGGTGAATCTTATTTTTTATCATCAATATCAACTATATCAGGACAAAAAGAATAGTTCTAAATATAGATTACTTTGTGTCACTTAAAAACAATGGAGTATGAAAATTTTTCATGCATGATGGTCCCTATAAATTTTTAAATCATTTTTTGGTTATGTGAAAGACAACACTACCAAATTGAAAGCGGATGACGACGAAGGAGTACAAGGGCAGAAACAGAACGATCAGAAACCAAACAACTTGGGCGTTTTAACAAGTAAGTTCTTTCTAGGGAGTGTTCTTTTGGTATATAATAACTCTTGCTTTTTGAAAGCCATCTAACGATAGTTTATGATGTTTTTAACCGTTTATCCAAAACTCTAATGCTAAATACAGTTATTCTAGATTGAACTTTAGTTATAGCTAGAGTATCTTTGAATTAAGTATATATTATTTCTCCGTTTCAATAAAGGATTATGTTTAAGTCGTTGTTAGTATATGTTTTGTAGGAAAAAGAGGTCGTCCAGTGGAGAATAAAATTTCATTGGATCAAAGTCAACTTTCAGTAGTAATGAAGTCTTACAACCTCCGAACCACAGGCTCTTATTTGGTATGCATGCTTTCACTTTTCACTACTTTCCTCTTTTTCACACACGCAATATTGCTAGGATGCTATTTAATATAAAATGTTAAGGGAACAACCATTTTTGGAACAACATACAAGGTGGACAGTTAAATTTGAAGAAAGAAAATTCATACAGTTAAAAACTACATTAAAATTTCTGAAAAACAAAAGAAAATTTTATGATTGTTTCTTTAAAATTTGAGGGTTTTCATATTTACTCCCCGATCTATTATCAACTATTACGTTCATGGTCCTTCGTTTATATGTATATTTCCACATAGAATCTTTTGTTTGATCTTTTATCGTATTGGTATTAAATTGAGAGTTAAAAGTGTAATTTTATATGAGCTCTACATCCTTCTTGTCATAGCCAATGTTAGAAGTCACTACTGATGTATCATTGTCCGCTAGAGTCGCCGTCCAGTGCACCTGTACTCCAAAGCTGTCTTTGGGTGGAATCCAAATTCTCAGTCATAGTCATTGTTGTTGTGTTGTTCGTCAAGCCAACACCAGGCCACATAGCAAGACCTTGCTAGGGTTGATATGAAATTACACTTTTAACTTTCGATTTAGCACCAATAAGACGGAAGGTCAAACAAATGACTATCTAGTGATAAATACCCATAAACGAATGAAGTACTACAAACGTAATATTTGATAATATAGAGAACTAAATATGTAAACTTTCCGATATTAAAATATCAATTATAGAATTTACTCAAAAAAATATTACGGTATAACTTTTTTTTTGAAACATTGCACATCTCTTTATTAACAACCCCCCACAAAATACAATCTTTCTACAATAACTCATTCTCAACCAATTCTAACATTTAATTTTTCTAATTTCTACAATTGGAACATAGGATTTAACTAGAGAAATAGCTTCCTCCTCTTTGATCTCTTTTTGTTGTAGCTTTGCATTCCTAGCTTTCTAAATGACATAACAGACCGTCAACCATGCTGCCATTACAGTTTCCCTCTTGCTAGCCGGCTTAATCTTCATAATATTACCTCCAATATCCTCAAACTTGGTTCCTTTAATATCAACATTCAGCCAATTAAATATTTCAATATATAACTTTGAAGCATAAGGGCACTTGTAAAATAGATGCAGAGAGTCCTCCTCCCCTTCTCTACAAATTGGGCAGTTTGTGTGTATAGCCATGACTTTACTCAGCCTCTTCCTGGTTTGTATTCGGTCCCTCATGATCAACCATAAAATGAACTTGTGTTTGGGTAACCCCCATTTACACCAAACCCACTTATACCAGCGCGGGCATTCTTTGGGTCCTAGCAGCCACATGTATCCCTTAGATGTGTTATATTCTTCATTTCTGCTCATCCCTCCAAATTCATGTTTGATTTTAATCATTCTTTTCCACATGGTTGTTAAGTCGACAAGGCGAGTCGAGTCGGTGACGGGGAGACTAGTGGACTAGGCGACTAGTCGTAGACTAGTCGTTGACTAGTCGACAAATCACAATTAGTATTGAAATTTTCAACATTATATATATCTACATTAACCCAACATGAATATATATATATATATATATATATATATATATATATATATATATATATATATATATGACAAAATACCATAACCAAAGCAAACTCATGTTTAAAGATAGCACATAAAGTCACTTAACAAAGAGTACATAACAAACCAAAATAAAACCAAAATATTAACTGAAATCAGAAAAAAAAACTGAAATACTGAAATACTAGAATCAGAAAAAAATCAAAATATTAACTGAAATCAGAAAAAAACTGAAATATTAAACTGAAAATAAAAAACTGAAATACTAGAATAAGAAAAAAATCAAAATATTAACTGAAATCAGAAAAAAAAACTAAAATATTAAACTGAAAATAAAAAACTGAAATACTAAAATACTAGAATAAGAAAAAAATCAAAATATTAACTGAAATCAGAAAAAAAACTGAAATATTAAGAAAACAAAAGAAAACTGAAATCTTACCCATGGAGGAGAGTCGCTGGAAGTCACGGAAGTGCTGGAACTGGAAGACGTCGCTGATGGAGGAGTGTTGCGACCCTGATTGACTGTCGATTGGATGGATTGCGTCAAAGGAGGCCGTGTTTTATCGAAAATTTTAAAAATTAATGAAATTTGGGTCGGGTCGGGTCAATTGGGTTAGGTCAAATTGGGCAATTTCTTTCACCGACTAGGCGTCTCCTACGCGCGACTAAGCGTCGCTTTGCACGCTTTATCGCCTAGTCTTCCCTAGGCGCTAGTCGAAGAGCAAAGCGCAGAGGCAAAACCGCCCGGACGACTAGTCGGCGACTAGTCGTGGCCTAGGCGACGACTTGACAACCATGCTTTTCCAATAGTGGCAACATTAGGATTAGGAATATAGTCCCACAAAGAGGTATTCTTCAAGTACCTTGCATGAATCCACTGTACCCATATAATGTCCTTTTTTGCAATGTCCCAGTTAAGCTTCATGATTGCTTTATTCCAGAGAACCATATGATATATGTTTAGATTTCCAGGTTGTAATCATTGCTGTAATACTTTCTACCAGCTTGTCACAGTCCTTCCTTATTACTGAGTCTGGATGCAGTGATTAGGCCTCCCAAATATGTGAAGGGTAACTCTCCTTTTTGGATTTTAGTTACACCCAAGATATTACCTTGAATCTGCTCATTACAACCCCCAAACACCACCTGAGACTTAACTTTATTTATCACGAGGCCAGTACATTTTCTGAAAGTCTCTAGTGTGTCCATAATACTTTGGACAGATTCAACATTAGCCTTGCTTGCAATAATAAGATCATCTGCAAATACTAGGTTTATGACTTTTAATGAGGCACACATTGGATGGAATTTAAAGGCTTTGTTCCTGGCTTGCTGCGTAATAAGGTATTCCATTATTACGGTATACCTTTAATTTTATCAAATTATCAACAAAATTTTATAAAATTTTGGCATTATGAATAGTGAAAAGAAACTTCATTTTGACACAAATAGCTAGGGTAAAATTCTCTAGAATCTTTTCTTCTACTGCCGACATTAAGGAAGGACTGGAATATGACCACAATACCTTGCATCTCTGCATCATTAACTTAACACTTCATAGAATTTGCCTTTTCTTTATACTCTCTCCCTCTGAAAATATTTCTTCTTTCTTTTTTTCTTCGTCTTAAAAAACTTTTCTCATTTCTATTAAAAAGTCACTTTTACCCCGACTAATACTTCTCACAACACATCTATTCACAATTAATCTACCCATCAAATCCTACTTTTTACTCATCACATCTAGAGATATTTTTAGAAATTCAACACCATAATATACTCTCTTTACATCCCTTAAAAATCAAAATCTGTGATAGTGAGGATATAACATTCACATGTATCATCATCATGTGTGTTTTGATTGCAGCCCTTGCATAAAGACTTTTGCCAAGCAAATGGGCTGAATGAGAACAAGAGAATAAGATTGAAAGGGCCGAGTGGGGAGTGCGAAGTTAACTTCTTGCGCGGTAAGAGTCTCTTACCTATGCAAGGGCTGGGATCAGTTTATTGTAATGAACAAACTTAAAACAGGAGACACATGCGTCGTGAAACCCCGCAACACCTCTCTAGGTTGCACTGCAATTGATATTGACATTCATCGGGTGATATGATCCACCCACCCTGAAATTATACGTAGTATTATAATGTATATTTGGTGTTCATCACCGATAATATTTCTCCATTTATAAGGTGGTCAAAATTGCTTGCAAGCTATTTTTAACTTATAAGTCAGCAGATGACGTATATCTCAATGCTTATATGCTCACTTATAAGCTGCTTATAAGCTAAAATATAAGTAGGTCTTACTAATTTATTTTTAAGTCAAAATTTTCACTTATCCGTTTTGACCAGATTACTTACAAAACTATCTCTTATTATTAACAACTCTCTCTGACCCGTTTTAAATTCCCCGTTTTAACTACTCTCTCTTACAAAACTATCTCTTACTACCTCCGTCCCTGAGTACTTGTTCATTTTTGACTTTTTTCGATCAATCATTTTCAACTTTTGATTTGTAATTAAATAAAATATATATTGTATATTGATTAGATAAAATAATATTTTCAAAATATTTGATATAATAAATCTAATAAAATTATTTTTGTATCAATATCTAATATCATTTTTATTTAATTTGAAGTCAAAATTTACCAAAAAAGTCAAAAATAGACAAATACTCATGGACGGAGGAAGTACTTCTTACTCCGTATTAACCATGTTGATGATAAATTTTTTGGCATGGGTCTCACACAATTTTTTTTCTAACTTTTCTCTTTCTCATCCAAACATGAAAAATTATATTGGAATGTGTGTTTTCTCGTCTTCCTTTTTCTTTCTCACTTTTTTAATTCTCACCAATCAAACAATGTGAAAGAGTACACGAGGTGTGATAAAAATTTATTTCAATGTTCTTTGTGTGATGACGGAGGGAGTATTTTTGTTGTTGATTGTATGCCATTTCTATCTCTGAAAAAATGTTCATGTTGTATATATTCTTTATATTTTTATTTGAAATTCAAAGAAATTAGTCAATGTGGCATCAAGTTGGACAAGGAGGACATCTCAAGATTCTCCATATTTATTCTCATTCCAATTCTTTTTTTATAAATTATTAATATTGTTATTATTATTGTTATTTTTGTTGTTGTTATTATTATTATTATTATTATTATTATTATTATTATTATTATTATTATTATTATTATTCTTGTTGTTGTTGTTGTCATTGTTGTTGTCATCATGTTATTTTAATGAATGTCTTTAAGATAAAAAAATATTGTTATTTTTCATACACAAAAACAATTAATTTTGAAAAAACAATAATTAGAATATAAAATTAGCATAAATATCAAAATGTTAAATATTTAAAAGTTATTGTGGCTACGCTGCACGTCACTTTTTTTATGTAATATTTATCATAAAATAATATATTTGTAATTATACTTTATATATTACAATATTTTGTTCTAAATATCATACATTGTCACGTAATGTAATCAAACCTATTTTTTCTATAATGATTGATATTTTTTTTCATTGTAACCATACTTTTGAAATAAAGACATAAAACTTTTCTTTATACATTTTTTATGTTTTACTTCTACTAAGCAGCGAATAACGAAAGATATGTTCAAAGTGTTGTTTGATGAACAAACTAAAGATGCAATGAAGCAGCTTAGAGATGAAATGACAGTTAATATTCTACAATGCAGTTAAGATACTAAATATGGAGTATAGTTTTTACAATATGATTATGTTGTAAATGATTGGATTATTTATATTTATATGCGGAATATTTTACATATTAGAGACAATAAAAAGTAGATCAAATAAATGAAAGTATAACTTTTTTGTTAGTTGTATTTTAATTATTGGTGATATTATTTGTTATCTGAATTTGTTTTTTACACTTTTTGGATTGTTTTTTCTTTTTCCAGATTTAGCTCTCTCTTGGTTTTCATAATGTAGTACTCCCCACCCTACTATTCCATTATAATATTTTAGATTAAACTATTGATGTTTTCCTTATATAAATTTAGATTAAAAAACATTTTACGTAACTATTTTGTTCATAGTGTTTTATCATGTAGATTAATATAAAAAAATGGTATTATTCGTATTAAAAATTTGAAGAAAAAATAATAATCAGCGTGAATCATAAAAATAGTGAGATGGAAAAATGAAATAATTTATAAACTATAGTTATGAACATAATAATAATAATAATAATAATAATAATAATAATATACGGAGTATCATTTTTAGAATAATTGGTCATGAAGTAGAAAGAGTTTTGATAGAATTTAGGATTGGGTAGAGATAACTGGATTGGGCTATAAGACACTTAGACTGAACCACATTAAAAGATTGAATCCAATCGATTAGTTAGTTTAACTCAAGAGCTTATATACCAATTATTTTTCTCTTGAACTTCCGATGTGGGATGCACTCTAACACTCCCCCTCAAGTAGACAACCGGGCCATTTTGAATCTAACCGGTTGACCACTTGCAAATAAACTCTCATTCCCTTGATTTTTTTTGAGCGCCAACACCTAAAGGACCACGAGCCGCTGGGTATGGACTTTCAGATGAGCAATCGTGTTAAACGGGCAACAGGCCGTTGGGTACATACTACAGACGGATAACTAGGCTAAAGACTAACAGGCCGCTATGAATGAACGTCTAGACGGACACCTTGATAAACGAGGTGGGCTAAAACTGGCTCCAATACCATGATAGAATTTAGGATGGGGTATGAACAACTAGATTGAGCAATAAAACACTTGGGCTGAACCACATTAAAAGATTGAATCCAATCGAGTAGTTAGTTTAACTCAAGCGCTTATATACCGATTATTTTTCTCTTGAACTTCCGATGTGGAATGCACTCTAACAAGTTTGAAGAAAATAAAAATAGTTCGAAAAAACTGAAAAAGAACTGAAAAAAATTGTAAGAAACTAGAAAAAGCTGGAAGAATTTAAAAGGTAAGAGTTCAAGCTCTAAAAAACGTGCTCTTAGTCCCAAAATTATTTTCTCACTTTTAACAACTTGTAAAATTTTATGTTTTTTTTAATTTTTCTTTCTACAAATTGGTATATAAATAATATTAAAAATTAAATAAATAATTCTTTAAAACAAGATTTGCAAAAAAAATTATTATGTCATATATACTCCCTCCGTCCCCCATAGATCTTCTCAATAGCCCTTTTTCTTTGTCCACAATAGATCTTCTCATTTCATTTTTTTAACAATTAAAATACCATAACTACCCCCACTTACTTTATTTATTACACCTCACCCACCTCATTTAATGCACTCCACCCATATTTCATTAAGGGTATTATGGTAAACTTTTACCTTTTTTCAACTCTCCTTAAAAACCACCAAAAGTCAAAATGAGAACATCTTAGGGGGACGGAGGGAGTATTAAATAGACAACTAAAACATACAAATAATTAAATACGTAATAGTTATGGAAATACGAAAATAATAACCAAGACATATTTTTGGAAGAGAGAAAGAAAGTAGTCGTAGGTAGTAGTCGGTAATGGATAGGACCTTTTCTGGCTTTCCATAGGAAACCAAAATAAATAAATAAAAGAAAAGAAAGAGGGAATATGTAAAGACATGAAATCACAGTTCACATACTCTTCTCGATCTCTTCATTATATAGTGTTTATTTATTCACAATCATAATAACACTATCTCGGGCAGCCAAATGACTCGTGAATTAAATCCATCCATCTCCGCATAAAATTGGAAGTACCTAATTCATAATTAATTACCCACAACAAGATCGATCGAGCTGAAGATTTTTTGATCGATCGGCTTTCTCTTTTTCTCAGCTCCATATATGAAAAAAATGCAGAGAGATCTTCCAAAGTTCTTCAAAGTGTTGGCGGCGCCAAGCTTCCGCACACAGCTCGTACGTACGACGTTAAATACTCCCTTTTATATGCATTATTATTCCACATTTAGAAAAAGAATATATAATGCATGTAATAATTAATTAAACAGAGTCTTCCCCCAATAATATCAGAGAAGCTTGATATGGTGGTGAAAGAAGGGACAAAAGCAGTCAAGCTGATCAGCAGGAGAGGAATGTCCGAAGTGGACATCCAGAAATCTAAAAATGGCCGTGGGTTCTCATTCACGTGTACCGGATGGGAAGGGTTTGTGGATGAGCACGACCTGCAACTGGGTGATTTTCTGGTTTTCGAAGACATGGGGAACCTCATCTTTAAGGTCACCTTGTTCGATCCCACTTGCTGCGAGAAAGGTTTCCCCGTCCAGCAAGAAACCAGCAATGAAGACGATCATCATATGACAACAACAGTTGAGTTAGATCCTGCGACAGATAATGGCTGTGCTGGTAATAATGGTCCTAATGGTAAGTAATACTCTCTCTCTCTCTCTCTCAAAGTAAGTTGGGTGGGGTTCCGTTGACACTGAATTTCAGTGTCAAAGGATGACACTCGAGACGGCCATGAGTCTTTGCAAGTCAATGTGTGTTGTCTCCCCCTTATATATTTTATACTTTTATATCTAACTTAGGACAATGATAAAGCAAGATAACTTGAACTTGTTCTATTTTGCCCCAATCCCAAATATTAGGGGACAAAAAAAGGATACACTTTTGGCCTGAACAGTCTGAAAAAACGGGACAAGATGCGAGATGATATAAAACTCAAACTGTTCCGACCCATGCCCAACTCTAATCATGATTAGGACTAATATTAAGATTATGTTTATCTTTTCTATTTTTTTATCTATATATATGTAGTAGTATTTGGGCTACCCATATTCCTTTTCCTCTAAGTATAGTTTGTATCTTTACTCGTAACTCTATAGAATCTATAATTTGTTGAGAAAATCTTGATCAATACATGTTTTCTCTTTGACGGTTACTAATAGGCTAGGCTGTTAGAAACCACATATCATTAAATTTTTATCTTCCTCATGATTGTTGATTATTTTTGTTCATATTTTCTTGCATTTGTCATTTGACGATGGCGTCAAATGGCAGTGTGGTACTGACAAATGAGTGACAATGGTTGACAATGACAAACTCTTATTTAAGTTGTATTAAAAGACGAAGAATTAGTATTTTCATACTTATGTACTTTATGTTTGGATTAAAGATTTTGAAAGGGAAAAGAAAAGAACATAAGATGGAAAATAATTTTTTGTTGTTTGGTTAGAAAAGCGAGAGGGAAAGAAAAGAAAAGTAACGGAGCATAAGAAAAAGAAAATGAGAATGACAAAATATATTCGGTGAAAAACCAAATTCTCATTGCATATAAACATATAGAGTATGATGATTCAATTAATTTCATCCTTTCGATCAATATAAGATGTGAAAGTGGAGGCTAATAAGGGAGAAGATGAAAATGCGGCTCAGAGACAAAACCTGAACCCAAACTACCTGAAGAGAAAACTGAAAGTCTGCAATGGAGTGAAACATGAGAAACTTGACGACCAGAATAAGAACCGCAGGTTGATTCAATCTACTGGCCGTTTTGACCCTTCAAAGAAACGTCAATTCTCGTTAACAATGAAGCGCTACAACATCCTTGATAACACTCCTTACCTGGTATATAAGTTTTAAGATTTCTAAACTCCTTTTATTTCCTTTTTTTCTGCTCACCTTAGTTTAATAATGTGTACGTTTGTTCGCCTCGAGTATGTTTCAGTATTTGCCCTCTGCATTTTGCAAAGCAAATGGGCTTGTTCCTCAGAAAGCAAAAGTGACTCTGAAAGGTCCGAGTGGTGAGGAACACCAAGGTAGCCTCATCGTGTATGATAGAAAGAAAGACGGTTGCATTCATACTCGAGCTTGGAGCGGATTTGTTGCAAGCAACAATCTGAAAGTTGGTGACACTTGTGTCTTCAAACTTTGTGACACCGCAGGGAGCGGTTCAGACTGGGTTCTGTTTGATGTTGACGTTCAACCTGCAGCCTCTTAATTTGTGTTTACATATCATTGGATTGGTTGCACATAAAAATATTCTCGATCTCATCATCCGAAACTTTGTGCTTCTCTTTGGTTTTTGGGATGACGTTAGTAGCAAGTGTGTCATGTGACAAACGTGGTGTACAACCTAGCTTTAATTTTTTGTAAGTGTATTTCTGGCAAATGTCTTTTTTTCCTATTAGGAGTGTTAGGTGATTAACTGATTGTTTGGCTTGGTATATTTGAATTGCGACAAGGAAGAGAACAAGCCATGGGAATCATAATCCATCACATAACACAACATTACATATTAAGAAAACAAAAAGAGTTAAAGCCCATTTTGTTTTATTATTATATGGTGGGACGATAGGAGGAGTTGTGTTTCTAATAAGGGCGAAACTTGCAAGGATCATCTCCGAGCAAAAGGGCCCTAAAGATGGCCTCACAAATGACACCATCGTAGACGAGGCAATGTCCGGCATCGGGGACCTCATAGTACCGAATCCATGGCAGCCTCCTTGCAACGTACCTCTGCAACTCCACGTTGATGAATTTGTCTTGGCAACCCTGCCACATCTGCACGCTCCCTTTCTTCTCCGGGAACGGGTCTTTCATCTCCAGCGGGTCGAAGTCCCATTTGCAGAACGCCGCCGCAAAATCCGAACTCAGGTTCTTGTACACGCTTTTGTCCTTCAGCTTCTCCTGCATTGTCAAACCATATACATACTCCCTTTCAGTGCGTTTTTCTGATTTAATTCTACTTAAAAAATGAAACCGAACAAACACATTTAAAAGATAAAAACAACAATCTAGTGACCAAGAAAAACTTTGACTAGTGAAGGTTAAGGGTCTGTTTGGTATATAGAATTGATGGAATTGGAATTGAATTAGAATTGAAATTCCATGGGATTCAATTCCATAGAATTGAGTTCATCAATTCCAATTCATTTTTTGCACTGTCAATTCCAAATTCGCATAATTTTTTTGCTACCAAACACCAGAATTGGAATTGAAGTCATCAATTCCAATTCCATAGTTTGAATTCCGTGGACCAAATGGGGCCTAAGGGTCGTTTGGTATACAGAATTGACGGAATTGGAATTGAAATTCCATTGGATTCAATTCCATAGGATTGAATTCTACCAATTCCAATTCATTTTTTACACTATCAATTCCAAATCTACATAATTTTTATACTGCCAAACACCAGAATTGGAATTGAAGTCTTCAATTCAAATTCTATAATTTGAATTCCGTGTACCAAACGGAGCATAAAGCAATATAGTAGTAGAAAAAAAGGGAAATGTTACCGCAGTTGGGGAGTGATGGCCATTGGGAGCATCCCGAATAAGCTCCCAATCTCGTTCGCTATAATTACTATCATTTCTGGACGGGTTTCGGGCGGCGAACCAATGCCCGAACCAGGGAGCGTATTTCCCAATCCAGAGCATTACCCGGTACACATTCCTCCTTTCGTCGTTCTTGGTGAGAATGTCCGGGATCGACGGCCACTGGTAGTTCACCGGCGGAACCACCATCGCCACCCCTAACAGCCTCTCTGGTATCCGTTTCAGGCACCCCCACGTCGGGTATGACCCCATCGAGTTACTGATCACATAGAACTTCGGTCCTATCCCAATCCGATCCGCGAGTTCCTCAATGTCCGATGATTCGCTCTTCTGCGTCCGTTTATCGTTCGGGTCGCTCTCCCCGTACCCGGCTCTGTCGAATAGAACCACATACACTCCCAGCTCCTCCATCAAATCCTGCTTCGAAAACAGTTAGTAAAAGCAAGTAAATTCTATAATTTGTTTTTTATAATTTTAAGATTTTTTATATTTATTTTCTATTACTCCGTGTTAAATATTATCCGTGTGACCATTCTTTTATACATTTTCCAAATATTCTCTTGCTTGACATTCTCTCATGTATGTGTTAATTTGAGGGTTAAAAGTGTAATTTAACACTTTTTTAATGTTCAGTGACGTATTTTAATGTCAATTAGATGAACAATACAATAATGATGACTATGACTGCAGACTAGGATTCTGACGAAAGACCACAATTGTTGACTATGGTTGTACTCCCTCCGTTTCTTAAAACCCTTCCTCTTTCATTTTTTTTTTGTTTTTCTTAAAACACTTTCCTTTTATATTAAAAAACCACTTTTACCCATCACATCAAGGGCAAAATTGGAAAGTCAACTACAATTTAACACTTCCTTATTTTTTCCCAAAGTCAAAAGAAGAACTCTTTTGAGAAACAGAGGTAGTAGTAGATAGTGAATGCAATTCACAAACGACGCATGAGGAACGGTCTCTAGAATTTGATATGACAAGAAAGATATATGATCATTGTGAAACTAGACTTTTAGCTCTCAAATTAATATATATCGACATGATAGAAGATCAGAAAATAATTATTTATGAGAAAAATAACCATAAAAGAAAGGTCACGGGAGTAATATTTAATAATAGAAGACTAAATACAAAATACTTCCTTTTATAAAGAACTAATAAATAAATAAAGTGAAATTTGCACTAAATAGGACTAAAACATAATGACTTTCCTAATGTAGGACTTAAACTTTTTTATTCCTTAAATAAGACTAAATAATGACCTCGTGGGAGGAATAATGTCCAATAATGCTAGACATTTAGTTGAATAATGACTACATGTTAATGACCAAAACTCCTACATTGGGAAATAAAAACAAATGGTTCTATATTGAGAAAGTCATTATGTTTTAGTCCTATTTAGATAAATTTCTCATAAATAAATCAATACTATTTCCTTAGAATGTTAGATGAAAAAGCTTAAAAACACGGCGGGTGGTTTCCTTAGCTTCAACTTATTTTTTAATTTATTATATATTCGTATTAAAATTAGATCATATTTAATAATATCAAATCTAATCAAACCAAATTAGATTGAATCAGATCAGATTCTATCAGATTAAACGAAATCAAACTCAATCAGATCTAGTCAGATCCAATCAATTCTGATCAGACCCGATCTTCAAATTAAAGAATTAAATCCAATCACATTTTGCTTAATGGAGAGACAGATTATATAAAAAAATCACCCAAAATATGAGTAAAATATAATCTCTATGACCAAAATATGAGTAATATGTTTTTATCTTCAAAAATAAGTTTATATTGTGATATTGTGACATTCTATATTAACATTTCACAGTGTTTTTTGGTATTATATGTTGACATTAATAGCATTATATTATATCTTCTACTCCCTCCGTCCCTAAATAAACTTTCATTTTTGACTTTTTGAGGATTTAAGGGATGAATATTTTTGTGTTGACTTTCCAAAAATACCCTTGATGTGATGTGTAAAAGTAAGATGTGATAGGTAAATTATTAGTAAAAAGGTATGATGTGATAGGTAGGGTATGAAAAAGTAAGGGGTAAAAGGGGTTTTTAAGGGAAAAGAGAAGTTTATTTGGGGACAAAGAAAAAAACGAAAGAGGAAGTTTATTTAGGGACAGAGGGAGTATTTTGAAGGAAAAAACATATAGAGCTGCTATTTTAGTCATTTCTATATATTTTAGTCTTTGTTTAGTCTTATTTATTATACATTTATACAACAAGAGAGAGCCTTTTGCCATTTCTAGAAATTCAAACATCTTTGAAACACTAACATTATGTTTATTTCAAGAAATATAAGAAGGAAAGGGTATGAAAAAAATGAAATAAAAATAAAATAAGAGAAGAGATGAACCAATAAGAAGAAAAGGATTAAGCTATTTCTACATTAAAATTTGTACTCCATTTTGTACTCTAAAGGCATGCACTGACATTTTGTACTAGTGTGATAGTTTACATAGACAAAAAATGTCAGTATAACTTTTTTAAGTGAACTAAAATTTTATGCTAGTGTGAATCGATTAAATATCGATGCATTTTCTTGAGATACAACTTGGAGTACAGCGCAGCTTTTGCTGTACCCCTAACATGGTTGAAAAGAAAAACAACTTTTGCTCTTATTACTTATTAGTGATCAAAGAAAGAGGAAGAGATTTTTCTTTCGTTTCCCATTTAGAAATCACCCTAAATAGGACTAAAACATAGAGAAAAGTACCAAAATAGGATTTTTCATGTTTTTTTTATCAAAATAAGACTTTGCAATGTGGTAATGTGAATTTGCCCTGTTGTAATGTGGCAGTGTACATGTGGAAATTACTATATTTTTTTGATAATGTATATGACCATGTATGGTAATATAAGTCTAATTTCGGGAAGAAAAACATGGAAGTCCTATTTTGGTATATTTTCAATGTTTTAGTCCTAGTTTGGTCTTTTTTCCTTTTCCATTTCACGAACCAAATAGGAGTATAACATAAGTGATTTTACATTAATGCAGATAATTCAAAGAGCAATAATAATAATAATAATAATAACAATAATAATAATAATAATAATAATAATAATAATAATAATAATAATAATAGTAATAGTAATAGTAATAGTAATAATAAGAGGTAACCTACGTACGTGGGGGGCGACGAAGTTCATGTCCTTGGAGCTGTCAAAGCCGTGAACGACGATTACTTTGTAATTGGAGCGTTCTTTGGGAACGCCTTTTTCTATGTACGCCAGAGTTCTTCCATCCCTCAATATCACCTTTTTCGACGACCCACAGTCGTGTTCCCGGTGGCCGCCGCCGCCGTGACTGGTGCTATTGGGAGTATCGGAAACAGACATAACGTGTTTCGCAACAACTTTTTCTTTATTGTTACACTTGTAAGTTTGATGATATATGAGTAATTAAACACGAATGGGGGCTTTTGTAATACGTAACTTGTACTTCCTCAATTTTCTAATCCTCTATTTCCGGAGTAGTTATATCATAGTATCTCCATCCACAAATATTTGTCTAATTTTGATCTTTTTTGCTCAACTTTTTTGAACCTTGACCTATAATTGAAAAAATATATATTGTATATTAATTATATAAAATAGTATTTTGAAAAATATTTGATATAATAAATCTATAAAACTATTTTTGTATCAATATCTAATACCATTTTTATTTAATTTGAAGTCAAAGTTTTTCAATTTTGACCAAAAAAAGTCAAAAATGGACATACATTCAGAGCGAGTACTTAATTTTAGAAAAATGAGTATTCAGACGATCAAAAATAAACATTCACCTGTTCTTAAATGAGCCTTTGTCGCAGGTGGAAGGAAGCATTGTACAATCAGTTGTACAGTATGTATATATTAAGTTTATTTCACCTTCAGATCAAATATTTGAGTAACAAAATCTTTTAAAACCTTACATCATTTTATTTTAAGAAACAATAGAAGAGTTTTTTGATACAGAAAAATAGCACTCCATATCATTTACTCCCTCCGTCCCTAAATAGATTACAATCTTTTTTTCTCTCTCCTCTCGATAACTTTTGTTTGTTTACACGATTTCATCAAGTATTTGATAAAATAAAATATTCTTGTCACCTCTTGTTTTGTAGAACTTTTGATGTAGTTTTTTAATATGTAATTTTTATAGCTTATTGATATACCAATTTGTAAATAAAATGATTTCAAAAAGTAGGAAATTTTACTCCGTAACCCGCAATTTGTAATCAAATTGGGGACGGAGGGAGTATATGATTCTCCGTTTTAAAAAAAATTTCCCAGTTCGATTTTTTTATCAATATTTTCAACACACTTTAATCATTAATTAATATAGATTTATACAAATATTGTAAATATTATAAACATTTAGAATTTCAAAACCACATATGAAAGTGAATAGAATTGTATTAACTTTTTTCATTATACATAAATATACTTATATTTATAATTTTAGTCAAAACTTGAAAAACTTTATCAATCAAAAATTCAAACTGGATAGTTTTTAAGGGGGAAAATATTTTAGAGGAATTTACTTAAATTACACTAAAGCATAATAACTTTCTCTAAATAGCATCACATGTGTTTTTCTTCTCAATGTAGCACTTTTAGTTATTATGCATTAGTCGTTATTCAAATAAATATTCGTCATCACTGGATATTATGGACATTATTAAGTGCTATTTAGAGAATAAAACAGTTTAAGTGCTATTTAAGAAAATGACTTAAGTTTTAGTGCTGTTTAGTGCAAATATTTCAATATTTTAATCCATTGTACATTTTATATACACAACTTATGACAAATACATGCTTTGTCCATGATTTCATTCTCGTTTTGACTTTTCACGATCATTGATAAAACATTTTGACGATTAATATTTCTTTTTATATAAATTCAAAAAACAAAGTATATTACTTTGAAATTATGTTTCAAATAAAATAAATTAAATGATATTAAATTTATGTGATAATTTGATATACTTTTTTGGAATTTTTAGTCAAATTGTGAAGAAAATGTTTGAACACAGGGAAGAGAAAATCAGAGTGGGATGGCGACATGGAGTAGTTTTCTTTTTAATTATAGTAGGGATACACTAAGAAATGTATTTCAAGTTCTACCCCAAAGAGATGCACTAGTATTTTCACGGTTTACACTGACACAAAATATTAGTGTAATAAAAAAATTCACACTGACATTTTATATCATTGTAAACCATCACACTAGCATTACATTAACACAAAATATTGATACAGACCTTTAGAATATAAAATACTTCCTCCGTCCCTATTTTGATTGTAGTTTTTTCTCTCTCCTCTCGATAATTTTTGTTTATTTACGTAATTTCATTAAGTATTTGATAAAAAAATATTCTTGCCATCTCTTATTATGTAAAACTTTTGACGTACTTTTTTAATATGTAAATTTTCTTTCTTGTTAATATACTTATCTATAAATAAAATTATTTAAAAAAATGTTTTTTTCTCATAAACTTCAATTTGTAATCAAATTGAGGACGAATGAGTAATTTTTAGGGTACAAATTACTTACTCCGGAATTCTTTTATTTTTTAGAGTAGTGGATATAGAGCAGATTGTACTCCGTGTATTTTACTACTCCGTAGTACTTTCCATCCAATGGCACACACGTAACGTAACACGACAACTTTAATTAAATATCGTCCGTGCGTTAGCTAATCCGCACACATATTTATGGTTATAAAATATTCACGGAGAATCTACTCGTAAATTTCATTAAAATATGTTCATATATAATCTATTAAAAATAGAAATTTTAATATATTTTTTTTAATTAAAACATGACATATAATCCAAAAAATGTAATATATAGTCTCAAAAACATGGTAAATAAAAATATATAGCGCCAAACTTTGGCATTGTAGTATCACAATACTCCTATTAAGGAGATAAAATATAAGATAAGATTCTATGATATAGCCGAAGTAAATTGAATAGGATTCATTTTAATTAAAAGTTTGAATTTTTAAGCCTTTTAATATTGAGCATACACTTTAATTTTAACTAAAACTTGGACACAACAAATCTGAATGGATGGAAGGGAATGGGAAGGCGGAAAGAGTTCTCTTCACCTTGTTTGTTTTGGAGGGGAAGGAAATGTTTTATTTTTAATTTTTTATTTATAGTTTTCATTTTTAAAACTATTTTTTTTATCTATTTTAAAAAATTATTATAAATGTTTTTTATTTTATTCTATCATTTTTTTATAGTTTTAACTTTTTTATTACTATTTTTATCATTTCTCCTACATTTTTATTTTTTTTATTTTCTTATGTAATTTATTTTTTAAATTTAATTATGTGTGTGTGTGTCTATATACACACACACACACACACACACACACACACACACATATACATGTACATATACATGTACATATATATATATATATATATATGTATGTATGTATGTATGTATATTATTTTATTTATTATTTATCACTACGATTTTCCATTATGAATTGATTGATTTATTTTATAATTATAATTATTTACTATTATTATTATTATCAAATTTTAAATTTTTATTTATAATCTTTTTATTTATGTTATTATTTTTATTATGGGTTTTTATTTTATGATGTTAATATTTTTAGTTTTTTATTCTTATTATTTATATCTACTTGTTTATTATTATTAATATTTTAATTATCATTTATTTTTTATTTATTTATTTTATTACTATACAATTTTTTTTATTAATAATTTGTTTTATTTTAAAATGATTTAATTTATTTTCTATTTATTTATTTATTTTAATTTTTTTATATTATTTTTTATTGAAAAGGCGAAAAAATTGACGAAAGAAGAAGAGAAGGACAAAAGGGAAGGAGATTCTGTCCGATTCGGAAGGGTTGATTTGGAAGGGAGGGGAGGGAATTGAAACTAAAACTTTGGGTCTTCTCTCCTCCACCTTGTTAAACCAAATAAGGGGAGAGGTTTTGATTTCTTTCCTTCCCCTCCCCTTCCCTCCAACCAAATAGACCCTAAATGTATGAAATTATAGTTTGAACTTTGAATCACTTGAATAAAGCATTTCCAGGTAAATATTATCAGGACCGATTTTGAAGATTCAAAAATGAAAAACCCGAAGAATGCAAAATCCTAGACGAGACAAAAACAATTAACCCTTAACCCTAATAAATTAAATTATATGTGTATAAATTACTTTAATTTTTTGTGAAAGTACAATTAACTTTGTAGTAATACACATAAAAACATCAACCACGGGGGCACCCATGCTATTACCCCTTTGTATAACAAAAATGTAAAGAAAAGAGTGAAATTTGAATATAGAGAAAAACCAAGGGCATAAATGTCATTTCATTTCTAAAATAGGCAAAAAAACCACAGAGGTTTTATAAAAAATTTTTGAAAGTAGAGGGAGTTTTGGCGCTCCTTTTGTAAACCACAGGGGGCACCCATGCTATTACCCCCTATCTTAAAAATCAAGATTTAAAACGGTCCTTTCTAATAAAGTATTTTCTCAAATTAGTTCTCAATAAGTATAATTACCTGCATGATCATTTATAATTTAATTTTTTCCTAAATGGTCCTCTCTCAAAAATGTCTATTAAATGCCAGTATCAATTAAATATAAGGTATTTTGATAATTTTTATCATCTAGACTAAAAGTATGTTTCTGAAATACTGCTTTATAATAAAGTACTAGTATTTTGACCCGTGTCATGCACGAGGTAGAAATTTTTTTTTGTATTTGTTATTTTTCATCGTGAGAAAATTTTTCAAATATCAAACAACATAAAACATATAGAAGTCACTGATGAGAATTCTACTATATACAATTAAAAATTAACATTTCAAAGTCTTACTTAAATTAGAATATTCTAAAAAATGTTGAGGCATACAATAATTTTTTGTGAAGTTATAAAGATTATCAAAGACATGTAAAAGTAATAATTTCAACTTTATTTTTAATCTCTCTTGTGAAATAATAATATACGAGTAATTTTAAAAATAAGTGAATACCATTTTGGTAAAAATAATATTATTAATGCCAATGTTTGACATCAACTTTTTTTATAATCATAAGTCATTACGAAACATAAGCTATAGAAAATTATATTCTTTGAAATTTCAAGAATATAATTCATTTATGTTGTGCATGTAAACCTTCTCTAAGGCTTTATTTTCTAATACTACAATTGCACCGAAGATAATTTTTCACAATTTTCAATGCTTAACCTTGTACAACTATACAATTTAGAGAGAATAGTACAGCTGGTTGTACCAGAAGACAGAAGTAAGGTATATTCGAGTAGTATTCATTTTAAAGTAAAGTAGTACTCCTCACACAAATATAAACGTTCATTTTGAAATAACGTAGTACTCATTCTGAAACAAAGTGATGCTCATTCTCAAATTACGTAGTGTTCATTCTCAAATTACGTAGTGTTCATTCTCAAATAACATATCGTTCATTCTCTTCAAATTTGGAAATATGATCTTATAGTCTAATTAAACTTACATTACTCCAAATTACTTCAATCAGCATAGGC